CCACAAATACACAATCTATAAATGATAGATTTCAGGTTTCAAACCTTGGCAATCTGGCTTCGGAAAATGTGCTTTTAACCATGTCACTATTAGGGGCATTGTTCTCATTTTACGGATAAGGAAACTGAACCTTACAGAATGACCTCCCCAGTGTCAGAACCAGTAAGTGGCAGGACTGCGGTTTGAACCATGCTCCAAAGCCCTTGCTCTTTCTTCTGTACCATACTTCTTCCCAAAGAGAGAGAGAAAAAAGTTTTCCCTTTTAGAACTTTAGTTTAAAAGGATTTTGTGAGAATTTTTAGGGGACTTAAGAGGGGACCAGACAGCTTCCTTTTGGTCTTAATGAAAATAACTTCTCACCAATATGGCTTGCTGGCCATTTAGGGCTAGGCACTAGAAGGGAGTTGTTTTTCCCATTGACATGTTTTATTTTTGAACACCTCTCAGAATGACTCCTAGGGAAGGATATTGATAGCTCCATGAATGCCAATCTTGGGAGTGGAAAGATGGCAGAGCTCAGCCTTGAGGTCCTCTGTCTACACTGGGCCATGTGATGCTCAACTGACATGTGCATCTTCCTTCAGGTGTGAGCATGTGTATTCTTGAGTGTTTCACACATTTACCAGACAGAAACAGGGGCCTTGAGAGAGTCTGAGACATCAAGTATTTCTGTGTTAGTTAGGCTGCCAAATGAGATGAGGAGAGAAAGTTAGTTCCTTTGTCAGGAAAGTTAGATCCAGTTATTCCTTTGTGTCATGCAGGGTGTTTACACATGAGCCTGGAGTGTCACAGAGACTGTAGAATGAACCCATGTGTCTAACCTGGTCTCTGATACTGACTACCCTTTATTGCAGTGCGGAGGCTGCCAGCATCGGATTCGTCATTGTTATTGACAGACGAATGGACAAGTGGAGCTCCATAAAAGCATCCTTGACACGAATAGCTGTAAATATTTACTTTTATGCTTTTTTATAAAAGTAATTTAAATTATCTATTCAGTTATTTCATATTGGAGTCAAAAGGAAAAAGTGATTATTTTATGCCAAATTTTGGGAAGGTCTTTGTAGCAGAAGCTGTTGTGTCACATCTGTATTCCCTCTGCCTCCTGAAGGTCACTGCAGAGCATTTTTGAGCATGTCAAAGGTTTCCCGAGTCTCTCTACTTTATTAATTTCTCTGGTCACCAAAGAGAGGCAGGTAGAGAATGCTAGGAAGTTAATGCTCCAGGAATAACCTGCATCTATTGAGTAATGTGAGTTGGGGGATAAATACCCCAGCTTCAGTGGGACAATTCTGAGGCATGTCCCTCATTGTATCTCAGGGAGTCCCAGCCCTTCTTGCTCACAGCAGTCCCCACTCAATGAAACACTGGATCTCTGGCCATAAGTATCTCACTCTCACCCTCCCTGCCCCAGCTCTTCTCTATGCTTCCTAGGATCACCTCCTCAATAAATACTTTATACCCAAATACTTGTCATCGTGTTTGCTATGGGAGGCATCTAATTTAAGATAGTCTTCGTTTTAGTATTGAAATTATTTTTTCACATATTACAAAGACACTTGACTAAATTAGACAAATGTTATTTAACTAGCTTGACTGGAGGTGTGCTTGCTTTTGGCATTAAATTCTTTTTAGCAATAAACCTTGGTCTGGTGTCCTTTTCAATCTTAGTCTGATTTTGATCCCTGTTTGCTGCCTTTCAGCAAGTAGATGTGTCCTTTCTCTATAAGGACTTCAGCAGGGCACTCAGCCACATGGGCAGGCAGAGACACCTCATGGTGAGCCACACCAGCATTTTCACCAAAGCACAGGCTCCCTGGAGCAAGATAGGACATGGTAGGGTTGTAATGTGTGTGGAGAGGCTGGGACAGGAGAGAGATATTTATGTTTACTTACAGAGACAGTCACACATACAGATAGGTGCAAATAGAGTCTCTCCCATATTGCTTTACAGCCTCAGCCAGATAAACAAATAGTTTCTCATTTGTCCTGTCATGACATAACACAATGTAAGGTTCTTCTGTTTAGGACCTTGCATTTCAAAGATCGGAGACTGGAAGCCTCCCTTCCTTTATGCATGGATTGTTTTGTCCCTTTGGTTTGGTTTTGGCTACAGGATTTATTTCGGGGATAACTACAATGATGGTTGATGCCCTGAGGATCTGGACACTTGATAGTGCCCATGACTATTCCAGAGGTCTGGCCTCTAGCGAGTTCTGATTTCCCAGAGTCCACAGACAATGTTGAATCATCTAATACTCGAGCATAATTTGTCCAAGAATTACACTGGTGACTTAAAGTATTAAAGATACTGTAGTGCGGGATCCCAACACCTGGCTACCAATCAGAATCTCTTCATGTGCTTATTGAAAATACGGATACCCGGACTTTAGCCCAATCCTAATGAGTCAGAGTATTCCAGGGCACAGACCAGATTTTTTTCTAACAAGCATCTCAGGAGGTTGCTTTTGGGAACCACTGGAAGAATGGAAAGCCACGAGCGACGGTAGATGTGGATTCCACCTTTGTCACTAAGTTTTTATATGAATCTGAGTTATCTCATTTCTTGGGACCACAACTCAAAATGAGGACAGGGCTTTCTAGAAGCAACTTAGCAATAATATGCATCAAGAACCCTTAAAATACTAAGTCTTTGACTCAGTGATTCTTCTAGGAAGCTGTGCTAGAGAAAATGTTCCAAAATGTGGATAAAGATGTTCATTTCAGTGTTATTTATAATAACAAAAATATGGAAAAGCCTAAATCCCTAGCAATTAGAGATAGTTAAATAAATTTTGCATCCATGAAAACTAATATTTCCAAGAATTTTTAATAACAAGAATGAAAGCTCATGGTATTCAAATTAAGTGAAAAGGCCAGTAACAAAATATTTCTACAATGAGTTTAACCACAATAAAAATATTTAAGCAGATAAAATAGCCTATAAGTAATTAGGTTAAAACATCAAAAATGGTTATGAGATCATGAGTGGTTTTCTTTTTCCAATGTATACTTTTATTAGTTTTCCAATTTTTTAAATAACGAGTATTAATTATTTTTATAATTGGAAACATTTTTTATATTTGTTTGATTTGGTTTGGTTTGGTTTTAAAGGAGGGATTTGGATTATCTGACTTCCAAGATCTCTTTCAGCTCTGAAATCTTGTGAAATATATTCTCTTTGGCATTCATGGTGTGTACTTTAAATTTGTCAGCTATGGTCTTCGGCCAGAGGAGACCAATGGTTGTGATATTTGCCTTGACACTTTTCATGATCCTTCCAGGTAGCATTTCCAGGAAACTTGCAGCTCATATTCATCCTTCGTCCATCTAGCTTTATCCAGAGGACAATCACGGACATTGGCATTAAATACTATCGAGATGAATTTAAAATGAAAGTGCCGGCAAGTATGACCTCTTATCTTGTCTCTATTTGGTTAGGGCATGTGGAGAAAATGGCAGTAGAACTGGTTTTCTGAGAAGGTAGGACTCCACAGGTCGGGAGGGAGGGCATCTGGGCAGAGGGAAACAGGGTGTATAAGGACGTGGAGGTAGGAAGTACACACTTTATGGTCTATGAGGAAGCTCTTTGTTGGAATACATATAGGATAACCTTTTGGAAGAAAAAGTAGGAAACGTGGAATAGATCTTAAGTGTAAAGATAAAGATTCTGGATTTCATTCAGTCGGCAGTGGGAATCTAGTGAAGATTTTTGAATTGGAGAGTGACTTGGGTAAGTGGCACTGGAATTATATAAATCTGAAGGTGTTGTCTAAGACTGTAGAAAAAGATTGAAGGAAGGAGAGAAATTGTAGTAGTATGGAAGAAAGAAAATAAGGATCTAAAATATGGGGGCAGCATAAATACTAGAAACTGTAGAGTAAAAATAAAAACCAATATCGTGATACTCATAAAAGGAAAACAAATTAAAATGAAGAGATTAAAAATTTTACCTATAACTTTGACGGAGATGTGGGGGAAACAGTCCCCTTTATACTTTGCTTATAGAAATGAAGTTGGTAATGGCCATTATGAAGGACTAATTGGCAGTGTTTCTCAAAAGTTAAAATGTACACACTTTTTGATCTACCTCTAAAAGTTATTCTACAGATACTCTCACACTTCTGCACAAAGCTACATATATAATAATATTCATTACCAAATTGTTTGTAATAGTAAATGATCAGAAACAACTTAATGTCCAGCAACCAGGAGTGGTTAAATAACTTATGATTTACCCAATCATTTAAATATTTTGTAGCCATCAAAAGTAGTAAGATATGGTAAAATCACTATAGAAACAGTTGACATAACTTTATGCGTTTATAAAGTTAAACATATACCTAATCTATGACCCACCAAAGAGAAATGAAAACACACACCCACCAAAAAATATGCACAAGAATGTTTACCAGCAGGTGAGAAGATAAAGAAATTATGGCATGGAAAAATAAATACCGTAAGATTTCGCACGCAGGGTCTAAATACCAAAACAAATGAACAAACAAAACAAAACAGAAACAGACTCATAGATACAGAGAACAAATTCATGGTTGCCAGAGGAGAGGGGGCGGGGAGATGGGTGAGAAGGTGAAGGGTAATAGAAGGTACAAACTTCCAGTTATTAAATAAATAAGTCACAGGGATGTAACATACAGCATAGGGAAAACAGTCAATAATATTGTAAAAACTTGTATAGTGAGAGATGGTTACTAGCTTATTGTGACAATCTCATTGTAAGTTAGATAAATGTTGTAAGTTAGATAAATGTCACTATGTTGTATACCTGAAACTAATATAATATTGCATGTCAACTATACTTTAACAAAAATAAATTTAAAAGAAATTGTGGCATGTTCATGTAATGAAATAGCAACATTAAGCTATAAAAAAAGGAGTGAGGTCAGCTTCCTCTCTGTTCTCTGGCTGGTGCTCTTGCAGCCAGGCCTGCAGCTTCTCTGGCAGGATGGCCAGGAACTGCTCCGGCACTAGCAGCTCCAGGATCTGCTTCTGGGTGTACACCTCTGGCCTCAGCCACTGACAGCAAAGCTCCCGGAGCTGGTTCAGAGCCTCCGGGGCCCAGGTGACTCCTGGTAGCCAAACTGCCTGAAGTGCTGGTGGAAAGTCTCTAGGCTGTTGCAGCTTCGCCAGTGGAGGCTGGAGTCCAGATTACAGGCCTCTTCTTCCATCTTCACTACCAGAATGCTGTCGGGCTCTTCTGAAGTTTGTGGAATGAGTGTTGATGACTCTCTCAATTTTGCAGACATATGGATTGGGAATAGCTCAGGACTGCCAGGCTTTAATTTTCAAGGAGGTAAAGTACTCCTTATGGATACTTCTTAAATATGATTAAAGAAACAAGTGGAAACAAGACAAAGACAAATGCTTCTTAGAACAAGAAAACTAACATTGGAAACAAGGCTGTACAGAAAGTACTGCTCTTAATCTTAACATAAACCAGGCTTTCAAAGAATACTTCCTTCTTTAAGAGAATCAAAGAGCCAAGATTAATTTATATGCATGAGTAATTCCCAATTTATTCTGAAAATCATGCCCACAAGGCTAAAGAGCACTATGATAGACCAGCCAGGATTCCATAGGAGCTCCTGGAACATAGAAATCAGGAAGCAATTAATTTTTTCTAGCCTGCTGCTAAGAGCTCTAAGAAACAGTCTCATGAGAGAAGTACTACTGTGTGGATTTTTTTCAATGTTTACTAATTTTAGAAACAATATCATTTTGACATTGAAGAGACCATTAAAAAAATAATCTCAAGAAAAAAAAGGAGTGAAGTACTGTACATGCAGTAGCCTGGATGCATCTCGAAAATTTTTTTTTGAGAAAAAGAAGTTAGACACTAATGACATACTCTGATTCTTTTTATACAAAGTTCAAGAAGAGACAAAACTAAGCTGTGATGATAGAAAATCAAACAGTGGCTGCTATTAGGGGTGAAGGATAGTGGGGATTGATTGGAAGGAGGTACAAGAGAACTTTCTGGGGAAATGTTCTATACCTTGATTGAATGGATGGTATTACCTGTATATAAACCTTTGTCAAAACTAATTGAACTGTACTCTTAAAATATGCATTTTGTTCATGTAAATGATATCTCAATTAAAAAATGAAAAAAAAACCCAGAAAAATGGTTAAAAACAGATAAGAAATCTACAGTGATATAGAAAAGTTTTTAATATATATTTTTCATTTTATTTTTGGTTCAGTTGGGAATAATTTCAAACCAATAAAAAAAACCTCAAGAATAAGAATAGCACAAAGAACATTGAATGCTCTTTACCTAGATTTATTCACCTGTTGTTAACATTTTATCCCCTTTTGCTTTATTATTCATTATCTGTTTCTCTACATACATTATTATATATCTATAGGTATATATTTTCTCTCTATACATTACATATTATATTATAAGTTAATGTAATTAATACCTATATTACATTGATAGTAATATGTTAGTACATATATAACACATACATAAATATGTGTACTTATCTCTGTATAGTATGAATAATATATGTTACATATATATTTTATATATAAAGAGATAAATATATATATAAAGCTATACAAACACACATATACATATACATAGTAAATGATTGGAAATAGTTTAATGCCCAACAGTAGGGGACCGGTTAAATAAATTATGGTCTACCCAATCAATTAAATAATTTGATAATACTTAATAAATATGTAAATACTTTAATAAATATATATATACATATAAAAGTATGTAAAGCTGATGCTGCCACAGGAGGAAATGAGAACAAGGTTTGAAGGACAAAGTTTATTATACTCACAAGTCCCAGAGAGGAGGGTTACCTTGTGCCACATAGGCCCACAGAAGAAGCACCAGGAGGCAGAAGCAAGATGAAGGGAAAAGCTAGACCAGAGCCTTTATTGGGGTTTTCACAGAAAAGATGAGAAAGAGAGCCCTGGCAGATGTGGAATGCACACCTCCCTCTCCTGTTAAGTGGAACAGAAGATGTGCAGCCTGGCCCAGCAGGATAGGTTTCCGAAACTCCAGGCAGTGGGCAAAGTTGCTTCTTCTGCCCAATACGATGTTGCATAATGGTACTTAAAAAAAAAATTCCAAGTTTTACCAGAGCAGCTAATGTTCTGAGAATAAAGATCCATTTTTCACCTGATAATTTCTTGTTATATGTCCTATAATTTCTAATCCTAGAAAGACTGAAAATCTTTTTTGAAACTTCTGAAAGTGGTTTGTAAATATTAGGAGAGAAAGGCATAGATGGATAGGATTTTTCTTTTTTTTTCTCATGTTATAAAAATAGTTTTTAAAATTCTCGAACTCTTTTTCAGAGATGAAGGAGAAATGTATCGGGCCTGGTGAGGTTAACACATTGGTTTGTAGTAATCGAATCTCACTAAACCTAAGTTCCTTGAAGGCGGCGCCTATCATTCATACTGTTTTATCCCTCAGAGCCTGGCATGTAATAGAAGTTCAATGCATATCTGTCGAATGAATAAATCAATTTTGTTTTTACCTATAGACTTCGGGCCCTGACTTATATTCTTTTTATTCCAAAGTGGATTTTTCACTTGACTAATTTTATGTAATAATAGGAAAAAAGCCTATATACTTATGTTCTCTGACCAAAAATCAATTTTCAGAATAATCAACAAGGAGTAAAGAAATATAAGGTCATTCATTACTTAAAGGCTTCAGGGGTATGTATTTCAGAGATAAGAATGATGGTCCTTGCTTTTGGTTGGGAGTGAGTAAGGGGTGTGATATAGTGCCTGGGACAGAGAGCCAGGAACCTGCCCTGGTCAGGGCCACTGTAGCAGAGTAGAAAGGGACAATTTGGAATGTGACAACTTCCTCTAGATGTGTGGGCCTTCATTCATCAGCATGGGTGTGTTCATCGACAGGACCATTAATTTATAAAAACCCACTCACTATTACTTCCAAATCTCTCCCATGCAAGATAAATCAGGGGCATATCAACATCCTTCATGGGAGGGTACATCAATGTAGTGAATCTTCTTAATATATATTCCTCAGTAGATCCTTGTATTCTAATTTTACCTTGATATTTACCAGCCCGCCCTTTATTGCACTTCTCAATGCAGACTTTTAGACCTCAGTATAGCACTTGATTTTGTCATCTGAAGAGTATACCGTAGCCTGGGAACTTTTGATAAAACTTCACCTTAAGGAAGACCTGACTTCTAGTTAGCTTAGAACTGAGCTCCGTGATCCAAGTCACCTTTTGTCACATACTATTCAACATTTTGGCATTCTTCTCTCAAAGAGAGAAAACAGAATTAGACTTTAAAAATGTTTCTTTGCTGGATGTAGGAACCATTTTGGATATAAATGCCCAAGAAGGCAAAGCAGAAGTACTACATAAATAACAGTAGAATCTAGATGAGCTACTATTTAATTACCTGTGAGGAATATATTAATTTTTTCCCTTTATAGATCGTTATGTTAAATTCTGTCTCTGACCTTCATGGCTACATTGCCAAAAGCCAACTGACAGAAGACTTAGGGGGAACTTTGGAATATCGCCACAGTCAGTGGATAAATCATCGAACTGTGAGTACCAACTTGTGTGCCCTTTTTAATGTCTCTCCGTGTTTTCCAGAAGATAGGGGAGTTTAAGATCAACTGTTGGCATCTTAAACTACCATGACTACCTAAGATCAGGAAGATTGGGTTTTCCAAGCCACAGGCTGGGGGAGAAATAGGGTGAAGGGAAAAGGCTGGAGATTCTCCTGACAACCTTCACCTTACCTTATCTTCTGGCATGAGGATTTTCGGAACTTCACTTAGAGTGCATCTGGGGAATTTTCAAAATACCAATACCCTGCTATACCTCAGAGAAATTAAATTACTTGAGTTGAGATGGGTCATTAGTGTTTCACAAAACTCCCCAGATGATTCTAATACAGAGATTCTAATATAGAGATTGGAAATTGTGAAAGTACCTGACACACAGTATTTTACTTTTCCTACTTACTCAGATGGGTGGTGATTATACTAAACTAGAAGAGTCAGTAATATTGAGGAAAAAGTGAAATTGAAACTCATCAAACAATAAGTATTTCAGCATAAAGTTGTCATTCCCCTTTCCCTGCTCTCGTATCCCTGATACCCTTGAAAAAATTAGGTTTTCTAAGCAAAATCAGAAGCTCCCTTCGCTACCCTGATGACAGCTCGTGTCAGCACACCTCCCTGTATGTGGTCACTTTGGAAACATGTTGCCCGACATCCGAACTACATTAATTAGGTAGGAGAATTCACCTTGTTTTAGAGTATAATGTTCTCTGATTTTTTAAAAAAGAAATTTAAGAATTAAATAAAAGTAGATCTCTAGTAACAATTTTAAAGCGACAGACTCTAATCTCTCGCTTCTTTGTATGCCACGTAACTTCAAAGAAGTCACATCCCTTCCCAAAATCTAGAGGAAGGCCTACAAATGGGGCAAAAACTTTTTAAACTTCTCATCAGTTTTACTGTAATAACAGTGACTCTAAGAAAATCTTATTTAAAAAAAGAAGTGAAATGTGAAATTCGTCACAAACATATAATTCTAAATAAGCCTAAATATGAAAATATGGAAGGAAGCTAAAGTAGAGTATCATACATGAGTGTGATGTCTCAAGATGCAGTTTCTTTAAATATATGAAACATGGAACCTGGAGTACTTCCAGGCTTTTTCTTCACTTGCTAGATTTTTAATACATCGCTTTAAAAAATCAAAAGAATTTACTATCCCACCAGCCTTATTGGGCTAACGAGCTCTCCATTATGCTCTGATTTCTCTATCATTCCTTTATTTTATTATATTGTTCATGGTTTTCAAGTTGCCTCAGATCTTTTTTGAAATAACACAAATTTGCAACAAGTAGAGAAGAAAACTAATGCACCTTGACATCAAAGACAATAATAGTTCTTTAAGAACTTAGAGAGGTAAAGGAGACTGAGATCATAAAGATTAATTATTTAAAGACCTGACATGAGCAGACATGTGCACACATCTCCTCTTTCCCCAGGCCTAGTTTGTATCCGTGGTTTGTGTTCGTGTATGTGTTAAACATATTATTGTGAACTTTAAAATATACAGCTAGTATTGAAACATCAGAGCTATTCTTTACATGTCTTTTGCATGTTTTATGTACATACTTTATGTATATACATATATAATTAGAAATATATTTTCACACATATACATTATCTTATATCTTCTGAATATATAAATTCTTTCTTTCTTTTTTTGTAACAGTGTGCTTTCTGGATGTCAGATCTTTGATACTCGTAAAAAGTTAGAACTGAAAAGAACCTTAAAGATCATTTGACTTATCCAGAGGTGGCAGAACCAAGACTAAGGCCGAGTTCTTTTTCATCACCCTATCGGGATAAGGTCCTCTGTACCACTTTCAAGCTGATAATTCACAAATCAGGCCCATGGAATCAAGTTAATTTGTTAATAGGACCTTCCAGAGGAATCCTCTGGCTTTCCTCTATTTCCAGGATGACATTTGCAGGCCTCACACCTAACTCACTGAGTTATTACTGTTATTATTATTACACTTGTAAGGTGCTCTACTGTGTCCAACATCCTTTCACATCTGCTATTCCTTTTGGTCCTCAAAAAAACTCTTTAAAAACAGAGCAAGCATTATCTCTATTTTTCAAATGAGAACTCTGGGACTCAAAGGCATTATATATTGTACCCAAGATCACAGAGTTAGAGATGATCAGAATCTGGACTCTAATTCAAGTCTTCGACTCTCAAAGCCAAGATCTTTGTTGAGCTAGTTTTAAATCCAGTTTTATTAAATCTAGTTTTGACTGCCAAGAGATGGTATAGCATAGGCTTAAGAGTATCAGGCCTGAGCCAGGTTACCTGGGTTTAATTCCAGTTTGCCACTTTTTTTTTTTTTTTTTGGTATGACTTTGGGGAAGTTACTTAACCTCAATATGCCTCAGTTTCCTCGTCTACAGAATATGGGGAGAATAGCACCTAATCAAGAGATGTTATAAGACATAGTGCATGTAAAGCAAAATACTGAATAATCTCATTTT